CAGTCTCGCACATTAAGTAAATGTGTTAGATCTGTGATCACTAATGTTTCATGACCGGAGGTGAACTACCTGTTTTTAGAGAAAATAATCCATGAAAAATACAAGGATGTTCCAGTAAACTTCCAATCCCTGACACAATGTATCAGCAATATACATTATGTCTACATTTACATATTTTGGGTATCACTAGCAATATGTGAAAACTCTTTCTTGCATTTATTATGATTTTAGGTATTTGCAAATTCTCACTGTGCCTTCATGGTAAAACAATGTATAGATCCAGGTCTGTATCATTAAGGGTAACTGTGTTCCCTGACTGAATGTATGATTGTTTGTAAAGTTTTTTTTAACATTTAAAAAAAAAAAGTATTCTATGAATGTATTTGTGATATGAATACTCTGTGTTTATTTTGATATACTTTAGTGATTGGTAATATGTGTTATTTATGATAATTTCTTACATTGTTGCAGTTTTTGTCCTCCAAGCTAATAAACTTTTATGTGCCACCCCTCCTTTTTAATAGCGATCAAGTTCTGTGTTTGACCCCAATTCCTTCCTTTCACCTATAATAGTCCTGTACCTGAGTGGTGGAGTAAAAGTCATATGTGATTCTCCAACTAACTGTCAACCAAGAGAAAAGCCCTAAGCCCGTAAAATAAAAGTCGGGTGTCTCAAAAGCCATGAGGGTTTACCTACAGGGTAAATGCGTAAATGGGAGATGAGTAAATGTTCAGTTCATTGTGGACCTGGGGTAGTAAGTAGGCACACTAGAGAATATTATGTGTGACGAGATCATCACAAGGTATACTCATAGGGCTCTGAAAAAGACAGGGCAATGCTCATTCTGGCCCTTTTTCCTCTTATTCTAAGTTTCCACTTCATGTGCTTTTTGCTATGACAGTAACCACAATGTGGACTACAAGAAGATATGACTTCTCCACCCACCCCCCACACACCCCTCCTTCCAGTGACCCTGCATTGAAAGAAAGGGATAGGGGCTCAGGTAAATTGGTGAAAAGGTCACAATTGTATGTTTTTACACATGCTCCTTTTTAAAGTACCATGTAGTTTTGCCATGGGGGTAACACATATTTGTAGTTACCTGCAGCTTTGTTCAATGGTATGTTACTCAGATCTCAGTGTTAATATGCAAGTTGGACTATAAAATCTGTCATCATTTAATCTCCTGCAAAGAATAAGTGACCAAGGGACCCTTGTTCTAGATAAGGTCTACGAAAAAAAAAAGTAAAAATTTTCACAGGATCCAAAGTGCAGTAACTTTTTCCTAAATAGCTATTTTTAACTGTTCTGGCTCCCTGAATAATTGTGGACATGATATTTTTGGCAAGGCACCACAGAGCTGCTGCTGGAGCTCCTCCAGACAACACTGTGACATTATTGGCTAAGTCATGAGGCTTTTAACAACATTGGGAGGACAAAGTCTCAAAAACTACGGGAGCAAAGGTTTTTTCTTGCAAAGCACATTTTTTTAAAAAACCTAAACGAAAGAGTTTTACTGGTTAAAAATATATATAAAAAATGATTGCATGTATATTTTAAAGTGGAATAAATATAAAGTGGATATATAGATAATAATAAAACTGTTATACTGCATCTGTTCTATTTACAATAAAAATGTTGTATTGTAATTATAAAAGTAAATAAATGTTAATCCTGCCAGTAAAATCTACTTTATCAAACAGGTGACAACACTAATGCACCAGCAATTAAATGATTGCAGTGCTGTACAGATGATGTAGCTGCTAAAGGTGGCCATACACTTTACAACCCTCGCAAGACTTTTGTCTTGCGAGGGTTGTAAAGTAATTAAAAAAACGTACAATCTGCCCATCTTGGACAGGCAGATCGTACTTGCGATCATCGCAAGCCCGCCCCCCTGAGGGGCGGGCTTCCGATGACTGCAATGCTGAACGTGCAGTGTGTGCGTGCGCACACCGGCCCGTTCGGCAGTTGTCGAACAAGCAGGCCACTAACCCACCGAGAATCGTACGATTCCCAACGGGTTTTCCAGCCTGCTTGTTCGACGGAAGATGTACAGTGTATGGGCACCTTAAGACTACAGCGGTGCTGCATGCTTATGTGCTGCTATTAATCCTCCTCTGCACTGCAAGTCAGTGGCAGGATGCGCTTATCTCCGCCCAAAGGCCTGGTAATTGGTAGGAGTGTGTCCATGTCACTTAGGGTAGGGGAGGACTAGGAACTTTTTGCCTTCTGGCTCTTTCATGGTAAGAAGGGACTCCTGTGGGTAAAAGAGTGCACCAAAAAAGTGTGCAACAGCACGACAGCAATTGGTAGATCTAGTGGGTGTTGTCTTAAAGGTTATTTTTGCGATTTATTGAAACACACCTTTTTCCATGTATTTACTAAAACTATGGCATTTAAAAGACAAGCTAGATATCAATGAAATAATTTATGAGCTGAAAATGGACTTGCCTAAAAAAATCCTAAAAAAAAATACCATGTCATCATTACAAATAAATCTTATCACTTTTTTTTTTTTTGCGAATAAGCACAACATATGGCAATAGGAACAGGAGAGAGGAGACAGTGGCATTATATAGTGGAGAGGTTAGAGAAATGGCAGCAAGACTGGGAAGGAAGGTGGCAGGATTGTTTGGGAGGGGACAGCACAAGATTCAAATGTGTAGGAGAGAAGGAAGAAAAGGCAGTAAACTTGAAAACCTGATTGTGGAGGAGTAGAAGAAAAGAGGCAGCAGAAATTGAGTGTGAAAGAGGGAGAAAAGAGGCAGCATGACCAGCTTGTGGAAGAAAAAGAAAAAAGACTGGATTGAGGAAGAGGGTGGTGAAGGTGAGATTGGGGAGGTGAGAGGAGATTGTGGTGCTCTCCACCAGAGCCCTAGCTAGCTCTTTTTGCACCCGAGGCAAGAACAGAAAACTGTGTCCCTCCAACAGACGTGTGATGTCATCCGATGCCGCGCCCCACCTTCAGGATGGCAGCGCATGTGCAGAATGCGCTGGTGGCCAAATCCAAAATAGCATGAACATTTTTTTTTGTTTGGCCAAATGAAAGAAAACATTTGGAGTTTCCGCTCATTTAGTCCGAAATAAATTTTTAGTCTTTGCACATGTCTAATAATATGTGCGCATGAGTGTGTGTGTGTGTGTGCGTGCGTCTTTCTTAAAATTCTTCTTACTGTTGGGAGGCTTTGGGGAAATATCAAGGGTCTAAACAGACCCCTGACATTTCTTTGAAATAGAAAAAGAAATTGAGGACAACTGCAGCATCTGTTCTAAATGAATGGAGAGCACTCAGTACAGAGGCTTCCCATTCATTCACAAACTAGTGATAGTGAAATATTTACTATCATCCAGTTATCAATGGGGAGAAGCCTCTGTAGTGAGTGCTTCCACCCATTGGAAAACTCATGAATGAACAGGAAGCGATGTAAAGCACTTTGTGTTCATTCATAACTGGGAAGAGGGAGCGCTGTCAGTTCAGGATGGCTGGGCGGTGAAGAAAGAAGAGCCGCCGGCTGTCAGATCCCGGCTGAGTGGTTCTTTATCTCCTCACCCTTCGGCCATCCCGGATGGCAGCTCCCTCCTAGTGTGTGAGTACCATTTAATTTACCAATATGTTGCCCTTCCCTTTGGCCTGTTCACTATACCTCAGGTATTTACAAAGGTGAATGCTTGCTCTCCTGCATTCTCAAGGCATTCCATTTGTGGGATAGCTGGACAACCTATTACAGAGGGAACAGCTAGCTTAACAGCAATGTCCAATGGACTTTTCAGTTGGATCCTGGATCTTGAATCTTCTGACACACCTCTATCGTGGCCCAATCATTTGTAGGGGCATTCCATGTCCCGCAGCTGTATGTCACAAAAAGGTGGGGAATGCCCCGACTGCAACTGACTTAGTCAGGAGGGAGGTGTGTCAGTCACAGTTTTGCACCGACTTGAGCAAACTGGGTTTGCACCAAGCCCCAGCACATCACACAACAATAAAGACTTGGCAGTGGTTCTAACAGTTTAGTATTCTACCTTTAGTTACCCTTTAGGACTAGTTTACACTAGCCACAGTGCGTTCCCGCCCGATTTTGGCCGTAACACACGTAATCGCATTGCGGCTTGGCTCACTTTGTTGTGGAGCGTGGCGGCAATGCGATCGGACGCGCAGCACATCAGTGCCTGCAGTCTGGTCAGAAAAAATTGTGGTTGCAGATTTTTTTCTGACCGGACCAGACTGCAGGCATTGATGTGCCTTGCGTTTACTTCAATGCACCACCACACCCCCACACGCCCCACAACAAAGTGAGCCAAGCCGCAATGCGATCCAGTGTGTTCTGGCCAAGGGCGTGGCTACGGTGCCATAGAGTTCAATGCACAACCACGCCCCTAAAAGCCCCACAACAAAGTGAGCCGGCCACAATGCGATCCAGTGCATCCCAGCCAGAATCAGGCCAGAACGCACTGTGGCTGCTGTGAACTAGCCCTTAAAGCGGAACTCCAGGTAAAAAAAATTCTTAACCCTTGCAGTGGGGTTACCCTGACGCTGCAAGGGTTAAGTTTGTTTTTATCTAGGTTTTAAAATAATAAAGTTATACACTGATCCAGCTTGCCCTTAGACTGGTTCCTTCCATCTTGCTCCCCCTCTGCTGCAGTGATCTAAGGTCACGTCCAATATGGAGGAAACAGGCGGAAGGGACCGGTCTCAAAGCAAGTCGGGTGAGTATACCTTTGTTATTTTACACCCTAGACAAAAACAAGCACTTAACCCTTGCAGTGCAGGGGTAGACCCACTGCAAGGGTTAAGAATCATTTTTACCCAGAGTTCTGCTTTAGGAGCCCCTGCCTAAGACCACCAGGACTGGCTACTGATGGAGTTCATCCCACAAAAGCTGTCATCGATGAGCCTTGTAACAGAAAGCCGCGTTGCTGCGCACAGTGCCATCTGCAGGCTATGTGGTATATTGCAGTCACATGTACGGCACATGCTCAGTAGAGGGAAGAGCTGTGTGTCTGGGAGGGGGCGTACACTCCACTAGGGATTCTATAGAGGAAGAACTCCGGTCCTTCCTGCCTCTACCAGGTTCTATCATGCTCTCCCGGCTACTCAAGGAGCACCAGGCTAAACAGAATGAGCGGAAGGAGCTGCAAGGTAAGAGAACTGTATATCAGCCACATCATGTCTTCAGCAGTTCAGCACGGCCCCGGACTACAGCTCGCATTCACTATAGTAACGTGCGTTCAGGAGCCTCTCGGGTTTTCCAGGGCTCTGATTGGTGGACGCTGTTGTCAATCACTGCTGTGTTTCCGGAAGTGGATGGAAAACAGTGAATTCCTGTGATGTTTATATAAACTAGTTTTTATCCCAGGTCTATTTGCTGCTGGTGCAATGTAACAGTGTTTGTGTATATAATGGATGTCTGTGTGTATGTGTGAATATATAATATATGGGGAATTTATTAAGACTGGAGCAAACAGAATTTGGAGCAGTTGCCTATAGTAACCAATAAGAAGAGAGGTTACTATGGACAACATGAGGATTGGATACTATGTACACCTGCTCTAGACTTGATAAATTCCCTGTGTGTGTGTGCGCGCGTGCTTTTCTGGATTTTGTAGTTCAGCCTAAGGCTTGCCCATACACTGCTCCTATTTTAATCGTTTAACCCGCAGGCTGAACAAGAAAAATAGAGCAGATTCCTCCATCAACACTTAGGAGTGTGTCGATCAAGGCATCCCGCTGTATGCATTGTACTCTGACAGCGGCCGCCGGCCCCTGTCAGAATACCCAGACAGAGCCGGCGGCTGCTGGCTCTGATGTATGAACATTTTCTGGCCAGATCTTTCGATCAGCTGATCAAGGGATGCCGACCAAAAAGGTTGCCGACAGCAGCACACACTGTGCAAATTTAGGCCGAAATTGGCACAGTGTATGGGTACCCTAAGGCAGAGGTGGGCAACTTCCGCCCCTCCAGCTGTTGTGGAAGTCCCATTGCAAGACTTGACAGTTACAGGAAGATAAAAGAGAACAATGGCTAAACCTTTTTTCGCTTATAGTTCCCTTTTATGGTCACAGGAAGACATTTACCAATGTCCTCCTGTGACCCAAAGCTCAGCATATAGCAGGATATTGCTGGCTATATTCTAACAGCACAGAGCCGCACTGCACTCGGGAAGGTTCCCGTCAATATTGTCGGGATCCACCCTGCTAGCTGATTGACAGCTGGCTCTGTCTCTAGATCCAGAGCCAGTTGTACCTGCTCCCTCCCCTGTCTGTCCCTCTTATGAGCGTTGGAGAGGGGAGGGAGGAATCCCTGCGGGGAGCAGTGACTCATGGTCACTGCTCTCTGCAGGGAGAAGATCGGGAACTGAGCTATCAGCGGTATGTGAGCACTCAGTTCTTGATGAATAGAGTCGACCTGTGACAGCTTAAGGCCCCATTCACACGTAGCGATATATCGCGTATTTTTGCCGCGCGATATCGCGAGAAGTCGCCGGCTAATGATATTCAATGGAGCTGTCTTAGCTCCATGTCGTGCGTCGCGATCGCAAGTCGCTTCTATATGACCCTTTTTTCGGCAGATTTTGCGCGATTTTTCTTTTTTCTAATGGAGCCCGATGGAGAAGGTCGTGCTATCGTCGCTGGAACGTCGCCCCGAAAGTCGCGCTATCCCGGCCGCTGCAAAAGGTATGTCGCTACGTGTGAATGAGGCCTTAGTGTCACATATCGGCTCTAACTATGGGGTGCATTTCATTCATCCCATAGTTCTCACAGCTGTCAGGCCCGGATTTGCCCACCACTGTCGTAAGGGCTCATGCACATGGGCAGCTGAGCCCATACAATGTAAATTCTGGTGTATTTTTCCCCAACGGGGAGCTGCAGGTGCTGCGTACAGCTGCAGATAGTAGTCAATGGCTATACGTGGGTACTTGCATACAGCTTCATATGTGTACGGATGTAAATTCCTGGATGCAGAAAACCTTCTTGCATTGTTACATAGGTGTTAATGTTGAATAAAGACACAGGTCTATCAAGTTCAACCTATGTGTGATTTTGTGTATGTGTGTGTTTGAGTTACTAAGATTACCTGTACCTCCTGAGAAACGTATCTAGATGGGTATTGAATGATTTCATACGCTCAGCTGAAACCACTGTCTGTGGAAGAGAGTACCACAGTTTTATAACTCTCACAGGAAAGAATCCCATTCGTTGTTTAGGGTTAAACCTTTTCTTTTTCAGTTTCAGATGGTGGCTTCTTGTTTTCTTGAGTGAACTAACCATAAAGAGTTTATTACTGATTATCCCATCACCATTAAACAATTTGTACATTAATAACATTAATCTGAATAAATCCCCAGGACCAGATAACTTGCACCCACAGGTACTTAAAGAGCTAAGCACGATAATAGCGAGGCCATGTTCCTAATTTTTAAGGATACCATACTGACTGGGGAGGTACCAGCTGATTGGCGTAAAGCAACTCTTGTAACAATATAAAAAAGTTTCAGATGTGTACCTAGGAATTATAGACCGGTCAGCTTAACATTTCGATAGTTTGCAAGGTTTTTTAGGGTATGATAAAGGACCATTCTTATGAGCATAATATCATAAGTGACAAACACTATGCATTCAGGAAAGACCGTTCATGTCAAACCAACCTATTAGCGTTCTATGAGGAGGTGAGTGGCAACCTAGATGGAGGAAAGCCAGTGGAAGTTGTGTACCTTGATTTTGCAAAAGCATTTGATTCGGTACATCATAAACGTTTAATTTTCAAGCTTCACTCTTTGGGCATTGATGAAATGGTGTGTATTTGGATAGAGAACTGGCTGAGTGAATGTTTCCAGAGAATATCAATAAATGGCTCATTTTCCAAATGGTCCTTGGTTGGCAGTGGCGTGCCCCATGGTTCTGTTTCTTCCAGGGATTTACCGCCATAAACATATACGGCTGTATGCAAGTACCAGAGTATAGCCACGTACAGCTATTGGATTGAATATGAGGCTATACGCAGCCTCTGTGGCTCCCTGGGGGTGGAAATACACCCAAATTAACATTGTATGGGCTTAGCTGCCCATGTTACATAGTTACATAGTATTTGAGGTTGAATAAAGACATATGTCCATCAAGTCCAACCTATTTGTGTATGTGTGTATGGTCCTATTGGTGTGTAGTAGGTCCCTGTGTGTTCTCAATTTATACCCTGTGTAATTGTACCCCTGTATATTACGGTCCCTGAGAAAATCATCCAGTCGCCTCTTGAATCGATTAGCACTCTGCCGAAATCACAGCATGTGGCAGCGAGTTCCATACCTTGACCGATCTAACTGAGAAGAAACCCCTTCGCCCCTTGTGCTGACATTTTTTCTCCACCAATTTTAAGTGGCGGCCTCTCATCCTTGTCATCAAGTTAATTGTAAAAAGTTTGCTGCTAATGTTACTACCGGTAAACATTTTATACATGAAGATCATGTCCCGCCTTAATCTCCTTACTTCCAAGGAGAAAATGTTTAATTTTAGTAGCCTGTTCTCTTAACTCAGGTCCTCAATCCCCTTTATGATTTTGGTTGCCCTCCTCTGGACTCTTTCCAGTTCAAGGACATCCCCTCTGTCCACTGGTGCCCCCGAGAGGAAATGGTTGCAATCAAGGTATAACCCAAGACAGGAATAGCACATTAACTAGGGGGTGAACCATAATGTGATATGCCCAACATTACTATACATTCCTGGCACATCCCATTCTGCTTTGTGAGCAGGTGCTTGCACCTTTTTATTAGGACCAGATCTGCCTATATTGTACATATATTTTGGAACCCCAACACTTGTTGGTACTGCATTCATGCTCATGCTCTAGAACTGGTGCTGCAGTTACTACAAAAAAATAAAAAAAAAAGCTAATTTGCTGCGACTTCCTAGTAACAAAGAGGGAGAACAAGCCTAAAGCTGACCATACACCTATAGATTTTCAATCGGAAATTTTCGTTGCTGCCAAGAACCCTCGTTCGATTCTAACTCAAATAGCCCATCATGCACAGACCAATGTCGATTTCGATAATCGTTTGTCAGCAATACTAACTCACCAAATTTTGTCGATCGACACACCGGATTTTCGTTTGCACATTTGCAGCGTTCTTGCTGCGATTTTGTTTTGTGTGTCAGGCTTTTTTTTTTCCATTTGATTCGAAAAACGTTTTCCAGCCTCACTCTTTGAGAAAATTAGAGCGGGATTACAGTAAAAACAATTGTTGGTATCCCATCAATTGTTCGGTTATCTGTTCAAAAGATCATACATGGACGATTTCGGAACAAAAATCGAAGAGTTTATGGGCACCTTTACTAAGGCAGACCCCCAAGACATACTTTGTTCACATGACCAGTGTTCCAGCCACCAAAGCTGCTGATCTGGAGTAATAGTGGTGCTGGGAGTCCTGTAACTAGTGAAAGAAGCCTCTAAGCCTATAGATAGAGAAAACAGATACCTTGAACACATAAGACTCCATTTATTTCTTTAGTGAGTGCTGGTTGTAATGCACCTCCTGTTCGGTCTATGCTCTCATGTGGTGCAGTCCTACAGTTACTGTATATGTTTTCAAGACTTATGTAACCGGATGTAACCATAAGTCACAATACATTTCATAAGGGAGCCAGGTTCTGCTTCTTGGAAATGGCTGTTGCAGCAGGCGAGAACAGCACACATAACCATTGTTGCATATGCTTTACTTTCTGGAGCATGTTTGCATGCCTTGCCTAGGCACATGCTCATGACCATTTAAAATTATTGCCTAAAATAGAAAAAACACAGTATCTTAGAGTAAGTTTAAATGTCTCTGGCCATATTTTGTAAAACAATTACAGACTAACATTATGAATTTTTAACTGCGTGGTATGTTTTTTAACAGAAAAAAGAAGGAAGGAAGCCATTGCAGCAGCTACATCTCTAACAGAAGCTCTGGTAGACCATCTAAATGTAGGGTGAGTAATTAAAGTAGATGTGAACCCTTTACCCTACAAGAGCATATTAACCATCTGGGGAAATGTATTAAACATACTATAAAAAAACAAAAACTTTTATCCTGGTTTTTAGAGGTGGTCACGTGACTGCTGTATCTCTTTTTTGCCTCCCCAACCTCCAAGGGCTAGGGGTGGAGACTCCTGTCTAATGACGAACAACTGCTCTATATCAAGACTACACTCCACGGCAGTTTACAGCATGAACATGCTAGCTGCAGGCACGACGTGGAGTGTGTCTGGGTCTGCAGGCAGCCGGTCAGCCAGCGCAAGTTGCGGGTCACCAGCAGTTAGTGTCCAGGCTTCATAGCTGAAGACAAAGAGGGAGACGGGAGCAGTTTGGAGACATTGTGCATGTACATAACATGATCTCCTAACTGTGTAAGTGTCAGCTGGGCAGGGGCTGTGTCAGAGGCTGACTATGGGACTATAGGCACACCGTGTGTCAGTGCGACATCCTGCAACTCCCACGGGAAGAACAAGGGACGCAAACTGACCACACTAACATGGATCTGCTACCGTGGTTATTATTTGTGAGGAGACTGGCAGGATCAGCAGGTATTTATTTTGGGTTTTAGATCATGCATAGCTAAAAGGCTACATTACATCAATTCTAACAGGCACAGGAATGTAGCGCTAAAGTTTTGAAAGCGGACCTTTACAATTAAAAATCAAATTCTTCCAATGCACCCCTCTATGTATGATGATTAATAATAACATGGACATGTCCGGTGTAAAATGCTGCGATTTTGAAATACTTACACTTGCCGAGCATTCACTTCCTGCTTTGAAAGGCAGAAGTTAGGCAGGACGGCCTACAACACTACCGGGAAATTTCAAAGCTTGCAGATGAGAATGCCCTGGGAATTGGTAATCACTTGGTACTCTTGTAAACTTCTCAAGTCTTATTTACTTTAGGCATATGCTTAATGCAGCTCCACGGCCCTGCTGGTGGTGTGGGACTTTGAGTCACACGAGAATACTGAAAACAGCTTTCCTTCTTCTGCAAAGTGGGCCAGGCAGCTTGCAGGGGCCAGAAGCATTGTGCTCCATTCTGGTCCTCAAGATTTATCCTGCTGCACTCCTTACCGGGTTCAAATGAAAAAACCCGAACAGTTCAGATGGGTGCTTGGAATGACCACGGATGGCACCGTGAAATAGCATAAAGTTCAGAAATGTCACCAGCACTCCAATTCAAACGTGAAAAAGATCCATTTAAAGTGACACTAAACCCTCAGTTTTTTAACATAAACCAATACTGTAATGTGTGCCTTACTGTAATCCATGGTTGTTTCCCTTCTCTTTGCTGCTCTTCCTTTTAAATCCTCATGTCTTCTCATGCTGGGGGAGAACTTCCCTTTGCAGCTCAGGGCCTCTTCCTGTAGTGCTGGCTCAGGTTGCAAACCTATACACAGACACCATATATCCATTCCTGAGACAAGGCAGTCTGCTGCAAAACAGAAGTTCTGCCCAGTATGAGAACAGATACAGGTTTAAAAGGAAGAGCAGCAAAGAGAAGGGAAACAACCATGGATTACAGTAAGGCACACATTACAGTATTGTTTTATGTTAAAAAATCTGAGGGTTTAATGACACAAACTTGTCATACAATGCAAGCGCTTTCTGGACTTCACAGGCTCCCCTTCACCAGGCTCATTCAGAATGATAATTCCACAAAAAGCCAAACCAGCGCCAGATAGGGACCTCTTTCAGCCACAAATTGAAGCTTGTGTTAGAGGCAGGCCGCCCCGTTACAGATGAGGGATTACACTGTGTGAAACATAAAAAAGAAACACCGGGCGCCTTTCCTGGTGCAAATAATAAAATAATACTTTTATTTGTTTAGAAAGAAAAAAAGTGATAAATGGTACTCACAAAAGAGGTGGATAAAAAGCGTGTTGGACATAAATCTCAGGGTGTGTGTATATGTATGTGTGTATA